TCTCTCTCTCTCGTGTGATGTACTTCTGGATTTTCTTTGGTTCATTTTCACCTCCCTGGCTCCTCTGTCCTCCTAATCACCACTCCAACTCACCCCCACCTCCTATGCAGTTCAGCTGCTTCTGTGGATATAACCCTTGAAGGTAAAATGCCCCCAAAGTAAAATCATTATAAAAAGAAATGTAGTGCCGAGGAATTGTGAAAAAAAAAATTATTAGTGGGAATCTAAGTCTTACTGCGGTAAATGGGATACAGATTATTTTTTGAGTCCACTAGAATGTAAGCTTCAGATGTGCAGAGGTATAATTGCTTCAGTGTTGGACCTCTAGTACTAAGAGCACACAATAAGCGCTCAAAAACATTTGTTGAAAGAACAAACAAACAAAGAAGTGGATACCAACTACTATTTAGCTTTTGAGCAAAATATTCATGCAATTCAGGGTGCCATTTTTGTTTTCTTAATTTTGGTCCTGGACATACTAATCAACACTTGTCTTAATGTCAGTGGTATGTGAATCAGGTCACAGGCTGACAAACAGTGATAGGGTTTGGTAGTATTTTTGCTCTGCTGCTGCTGCTGAGAGTGTCAAGTCCTTACCCAGGTGTGGGTAGAGATGGGCGAAGGAAAACAGAGACTTGTGGAGGAGGAATCCTGGCTAAGCACTGGAACAAATACTTTAGCGGAGACTGAAGAGACAAGCATAAAGAGAGTGTGACACTGGGGAAGCAGAGCTAGTTTGGTTGGAAACTGAATGAATTTTTGACAAGTTAGCTGGTTCTAAACTTTTCTATGCATTATGCTCTCATGTTGCTCCCCATGAAATAATTTAGAATTAATCTCTAAAATTCTAGACCAGAGACTCAGGCAACAGGTCCTTCTAATAGCTGGTCAGATGTGGACAAGGATTTTACTCTTAGAGGAGTGTGTTATTAACTATGGGAAAACATTTTGAACTCTTTTCTATGATTTTTGGAACTCAGCCTGGGTGGCCTGTAAATAAATTTTTCAAATAGCGGAAAAATTCTAACCGTTAAAACTCATAGGAAACCAAAGAGATCAGTGGTAAGCACAGTGCAGCCAAAGCTTCTTGTTTTAAAAACTCATCTTGTTTTAAAAACTCGACTTGCAGAAATATTATTGATTGCATTAAAAATTATTAGCTTCTCAAGTGATCTAACAAATTTTTGAAAATTTTATAATAGGATGTTATATATTTTGACACATATGTTTCAATACACTTATCTCTGTATACTTGTTGTACTAAAGACAATTGCACTTAATGTCTGCTGCATGGAAAGAACAATTTTCCAGTTGATTGTAAATTCTCTTTATTTATCTGTTCAATAACTAGATCTCAGATCTAA